GAAGCAAGCCAGGGATCGAGCTGCCCAAGGTGTTCTAGGTGGCAACATCATCAACGCGTTCGCTCGTGGCAGCGGAAAACCGGTGAGTTCAGTCATCTGACGAACTCTGTTGCTGTGATGATGTACATATATACAGCAGTCGTACGGCGGTCCAGCAGCTGTATGTAGTGTAAATACAGCAGGAGTGCTACTGCTGCTGCTGTTGTTTAAAAAAAAACGCGGTGGTGATGACATGAAAAAGGCGAGAGAAAAACTACTCTGTCACAGGTTGGTGTGAACGACTGACTTTCAGCATGGCGTACATGTATGTGTACAACTTTTTCAAACATTCTCCGTTTGCCTCAAGTTCTTGAGGAAGGCAAGGACGGTACAGTAGACACAATGGCGAAAAAGAACGCGTACACGAGCGCCGTCCCAACCGTATTTTGAAAAAAAAAATTGCTGCACCGTGATACAAACTCACGAGAGACGGTCATGTAATCATCCCTTGCCCCATCTGCATAGATTTTTTTTACCATCGACATCCACAAAATTTCAGGTCCACAGCTCGTTGAATCACCTGCACCTCAATTTCGCCCTTCTCCTACCGCGCCGTGCAGATTTAGCGGGCTCGCGGTGGTGTCACAGAGCATGTGTCCGGTATCAACTTCCCACCTCCGGCCCCGGAGCGGCGCATACCGTGCCCTCACTGTCCCATGACCTTCGTGAACGAGCAAGGACTTGGGATCCACGTGAAAACACAGCACAGCAATGCAAACATGTCCAACGGCTTGCGGCTGCAGCGGATGCTAGGGAAGACTCCCAAAGGGTATGTTCAGCCGTGGGGAGAAGCCGGGCCTGGACGTTGTTGGCACGTGAAGGTCGATGGTGCGACGGGGGCGGCTTCGTTCGTCCTCCAACGGAAGCGCTTCCGCGATCTCGACTTGGAAAGCGACGGCTTTACGGACCGCAAAGTCAAGGAGACTCGTGGAGCTGACAAGGGCAAGCGATACGATTTCAGGTGCAAAGCCCATGCTGTGACCCAGCTGCGCCTCCTCCAGGAAGACGCCGCAGACGTCTTCAAGGAGGAGCAGCTCACGCCTCTCCAGTACTTAGAGGACCGTCTCAAGGTTAACTACAGCCTGATCGTGAAGTGGGCTCAGGACGAGGCCAATATAGTCCAATCGGCAGCAGATGACGTGAAGAAGACCCTCCTTGCCAAACAGCAGCCAAAGCGGTGGTTTCCTGAGGAAGAGAAGAAGTTGTACAATACGTTCTTGGCACGGCGGAGGAGGAAGCTGAAGGTGTCGACCCTGTGGCTGACGGTCACGTTCCGGAAGCTCGTGCAAGAGAATCACCCTGAGGACCAACGGGCGGCGGCGTTCAGCGCGTCCTTCAGGTGGGCACGAAAATGGGCAAAGAGGCATAAGCTGTCCAAACGGCGCAGGAGCAACCTCAAGAACAAGTCTGTTGAAGAGCGCCTACCAAAGATCCAGCGCTTCCACCGGCGGTTTCGCAAGCTCCTGCAAGAGCCGGTACGGTACAGGGCACCCGAGGCATCGGACGTGTCGGCGATGTCGACGGTCGCGGAGGGAGAGTCCAGAGATCCCAAGTACGGTCAGTTCCAGCTCTGGGAGCGTTGGAATGTGGATCAAGTGCCTTTGCCATTCGTGAACGGGCTGATCAGCACGTGGGAGAAGACAGGCGCGTTGCGTGTAGCCATCTCGCAGCCCTTTGCTGGCCTAGAGAAAAGGCAGTGCACCATGCAAGTCATCTTTGGTCCGGGTGAGAAGACTATGCGGATTTCGGTGATTTTCCGAGGCCAGGGGAAGCGGATTTCGCCGGTGGAGAAAGCCGCGTACCACAAGGACGTGGACGTGTTTTTCCAGGAGAATGCGTGGGCGGACCAAAAGTTCTGCATGGAGTGGGCCAAGAGGTCGTACCGCGAAGGCCTGATCCGCGGGCGGGGTGAGCTCCCCAAGGCGAGGTCCATTCTGATAATGGACAACTTGCACGCGCAGACCACGGACGAGTTCAAGGGGTATCTTGCGAAGCAGTGCAACACTATCGCCTGGCTTGGCCCTGCGGAGTGCACGGACGAGGTGCAGCCAGTTGATGCAGGAGCCGGACGATTTCTCAAGGTGGAAGTTGGTAACGAGATGGACAAGTGGCTCGATCAGTCGGACAACATCGAGAGGTGGGAAACCGCGTCGCTGACAGCATCTGACCGGCGCGTACTGATCACTCAATGGACGGGAGCGGCCATGGCAAAACTCAACAGCAATCAGGGGTACCGACACCGCCTTTTCGAAAAGTGCGGGATGGCGATGACCGTGGACGGCTCAGGCGATGATCGAATCACCTTGGAGGGTTTGGACCAGCCGTACACCTTCGCAAACGATGAAGACTCCAGCGAGAACGAAGGAGGTTCGGAGGACGGCAGCGATGGGCCCGAGGGGCGGGAGGAGGAGGGCGCCGGAAGGCGCGAGCCGGTCGTCGGGGATGAGCGCAACGGTGCCAACAGCGGGGAGGGCATGGAGGGCGCTGGATACAGCGATGAAGACGACGACAGTAAGTTTGATTGGCACTACATAGACTACAGTTAATTCATTGTCCTTTTTGTTCATCTTTTCTTGTGCTGTTTGGGATATTGCTGATATTCTGTTTCCGCGTCACGTCTACGAACAAATGGTGTGTTCACTTCAGTTGAGTAACGGCGATGACACCCGTACGTTCCTTCTCGTGTTTCACGGTACCCTTCGTCGCAGACATGTCTCAATCCCAGACCGACGAGCTAGCTCTTTTGGACGAGGACGACAGCATGGACCCAGACGACCCGGAGGACGAGACGCAGGGAATGGAGATCCCGGCGGGCTTTCGCCTTCAAGAATCTACCCCCGCTGCTCTTGACAGATTGCTTTTGCAACGTGGAGTGTTTGTTCGGCTGGGCATGGGTTGGTTCGGTGGGTTGATCATTCAGCAATCTCCGCAGCGCCACCTGTACGACTGCCTGTGCAGCTGGAAGTAGACCACAGTACGCGCAATATGAAGCTGCCCTTAGACAAGTACAGCGGAGATCCGGACGCGGCGGTAGGCTCATGGGTTTTGCTTGAGAGCGTCAGTAGGGCGGGAAGGGTACGCACCCCCAACGTCACTCTCGTGGACCAAGACGGTTGACAGTTGCCCCATGGGGGGGTGTTTGCAGGTATGAAACTCTGCGTCGAGTGCAGTTGAGTAGTCTAGTGCACCAATTGAGCAATCGATGATGAAAAAAGAACAAGAACACCGTTTCTGGAGACAACTGGACGACGAAATAAGAACCTGGCAAATAAGAACTTGTGCTCGGCTTGGGGCAGCCAACAAGAAGCGAGCCTCGCTCCAAATAAGAGGTTCTTAAGTGCGGGCCGGTTCTACCGCCTACTTAGGGTCGTCCTAAACGACCTCGGAATTTTACCTGCGATCGCAGGTTTCAGACCCCGGATCGCAGAAAAATAAATGCGGCCGGGCGTTTGAAACGAAGCAGAGCACAAAATTTAAAAAACCTGCGATTTCTGCGATTTTGGCGGTCAAACCGCTCCCGACGACCGCAGACGCCGTACACAACAGCAGAGGCCGTACACAGCAGACAAACATCCACCATGGCCGACCAGAACAGTGTGACACCGCGGGTATCAAGGCCCAGGAGGGTTGGGTCCCTTCCTTTACGGTTCCAGACGAGCGGGGAAGCAGTTGCTGCTGCTGGTTATGGGTTAGGACGGCCTCAAATGCCTCCTGCTGTGGGCATCAGCCCTCGGCCAGTCTGACGAAGCTCGTCTTGCTCATCCTGTAGTATCGCTTGAAGCAGTTGGGTCCTCGCTTCTCCAAGTCTTCCACATGATCTTCCCAGACAAGACGTCGGGGATTGTAGACAGGTGCCCGCTGCTGCGGCACGTACAGCTCAGCGGCCTGTGCTCCTGCCGTTGCAACACCGACCAGGACAAGGAAGGCCATCACGGCGGCCTTGATCGCAGCAATAGAAGCCGTATCATGGTCTCTTTGGTCGGAGCGCCACAGTCGCCGCCTTTGCGGAGCCGTCTGTGAGGTTCCCCGAAGCTCCCGGTGCCTTCTATTGTCGGCCATGGACCCTAGCCTACTCTGGCGATCAGTTCTGGGGGTTATAGTGCAGCTACGGGGGTGATACAGGTGGCTTGGTGTGCTGTGCCCGATCCAACGTGATGCTCTCAAGAGAATCGCAGAAATCGCAGGTTTGTACCTGCGATCGCAGAAAAGGAGCAGAGGTGATTTTTTCGGCCCTGCTCCCGACCTGCGATCGCAGGTAAAAAGCCTCCATATTCGCAGGTAAAACCTGTGATCGCAGGTTTCGCAGGTTTTTTTGGCCTGTTTAGGTCGCGACCCTAATTACTGCTGTTGGTTTGATGCGATCCACAGGTCGCCGTTGCTGCATTTTCGTTTCGCCAGTAATGGTTCGGTGATCAAGAATGAATGCATTGTCTAATCACGACAGGAGAGTGCTCCTATCTGACCCCAGCTTGGGGATCTCTTCGGGTGCAAGAGACGCACTGCCGTACGACAAGGGTTGAGCGGGCGGGCACCGAATCGGCGAGAATCCGCAACCGATTGGCAACCGACGGAAAAATATTGAACTGTAAAAAATGCGGAGGATTTGTTTTCATCGAGGTCGCCGAGTACCGCTTGATCATATCGGAGTACACGCGTCCAGAGATCGGAGGCAAGCGTTGATCTGCTCTTCTTTACAGGGATCTTGATGCGTGTACCCGTGCTGAGAACCACCTGCGTATCTGCGAGGCGCCAGAGAAGCAAGCGGCGAACACTAAGGAGCTAGAGCAAGCAGCACAAGCAAGCCAGTGCGGAGTGGTTCCCGCATGTGTTCCCCGGTTTGTTGGAAGGACCGCTGTAGCCCACGACGATGGCTCAATGCTGTGGTGCTACGGAAGGGTTGCCTCGTTTTGATTGGGTTGGCATCCTTGTTGGCCTACTGGAGCCGAAGGGGGACATTCTCAACGGTGAGGACCTTTTGGCAGTTCCTGGTTCGCTGCTGATACGTATTGTTGGCCTCTGATACCAGTACGTGCAGACTAGACTACTGCTGTACATGGTCCCTTGCAGGAGCATCGCAGCAGTACATAGGTACTTCACAGCCTCTTCTGTCGGTAGGTGAGACGACCCGTTGTTGCCACCATCCACGCGCAGTTTGCAACCCACCAAGTCCGTGTACTCGTAGCTGGGCCTTCACCGTTTCACCGTTGAGAATCCACCACGTCCCATGGATGAGTGTCTCATCCATCTGTTCGTGTTTATAGATCGACGAACACGCCGCACAAGCGCGCTGCATACACCACCATGTTACCCCAGACCGGGGTGTTCTTACCCCACCGGAGAATAACAAGATAAGCACCGGCTGCACCTCGCGCTTCAACGCTCGGTTAATCATAGGGCATGGGGCATTGAAGAACGTATGGTCTGTTCACCTCGCGCTACAACGCTCGGTTAGCCATAGGACATGAGACATGGAAGTTGTATTGATCTGTTTGAAGGGCTATGAGGGGGACTTGCCGCGAAGCCGAAACGGCCCAGTTTAGGTGCTGCCGCCCACCACGTGTGGTATATTCTGTACCATCGGTGGGGCATCGAACACTTGGACTATTCGCCCCATCGAAACAATAAACATGAAATACGTAACCTGTTCTTATATGTCCTTTACTTGGAAGGGGAAGACGTTTTGTCTCTTGTATTACACACGCAAGGGGAGTAGGGAGAAGTGAAGTCCTCTTTGGAGTTCGAGGGGTCCCCGCACATGCAACCATTTCAAGGTGTACATATGCCCCATCTGCGTGCCCTCTGTCGTTGCCGGTAGATCTAACCAGTCCGTATCCAAACACACGAACACCCTCCCCGGTTTGCACGCGAATGGCAAACCTAACGTGGGGCATGGATACCCCTGATCTACCAAAGGGACTCAAAACAACAACAGGCTCGAGGGAAAACCCGGCCAACCGGATCAAAACCCCTCGTCTAACACCCTAAATATAGAAAAACCGTCTCTATCACGGAGGGTTCCAACGGCCACACTTCCAAGACAAGACCAAGGCAGGACAGAGTGAACCGGTCACGCTGATTACACACCCGAAGCAACGCTCTCGGCGTGTCTAGGCTCCAGCCGCGGGTGACGCGCCGGCACAACGCTTCCTGCGTGACGTACCATGGTCATATATGCCAAGTGCTAAAACCACCATAAATCAAACAGAACGAAAGAACACTACATCGGTAGGTTCATCAGAGCCTTCCGGTCGTACTCTTAACTTCTCTCTGCCAAGGACCTTGGTCAGCATGTCGGCGTGCTGCTCTCCAGTCAGAACATACTCAGCAGTGATCTTGCCCGACTTGAATAGCTCGCGAATGAAATGGAACCGCACGTCGATGTGCTTGCTCCTCGCTGAGCTGAACGGGTTCTCGATTAAGGCGAGAGCCCCCTTGTTGTCCTCAAGGACCTTGATCTTCGCCCCACTCGTCTCGGGCGCTATGAACGACAGAACGCCACGCACAAACAACGCCTCCTTCACGCCCTCCCCGGCTGCCATAAACTCTGCTTCCAAGGTCGACTGAGCCGTCACTGGCTGCGTCTTGGTGGATGCACACACTACGGTACCACCTACGGTCACAGCTAGCCCGGTCGTAGAACGCCTGTCTACTTCGTTGTCAGCGTAGCTGGCATCGACAAACACGCTTAGGTCTAGTCCTGACCCCCGTACGTAGGTGATGCCGAAGTCCTTCGTGAAGTTCAGGTAGGCCATGATCCGCACAAGCGCGTTTCCATATCCTCCCGGTGGGTGAGTGGGCGATCTTCTGGAGCTTGTTCAGAGGCAGGGCGATGTCTGGCCTCGTCAGCTTCGTCCACATCAGGCATCCGATCGCCTCCCTCACAGGCTTATCCACCGCGGGCTCGTCATCTCTCTTCGGCCCTAGGTCGGCATCGGTGGCAGCAGGGGTGAAAGCG